TCTATTATTTTAAAAATTAAAAACATTTTTACATTATTTTGTTTAATTAAAAAAAAAATTAAAATAATATATAAAATTAGGTAACCTTATAGAAATATAATATAGTTATTATTAGTGAGTATTTAACTTTAATAATTTAACTTTAGGGATATTAAAAGGGTTTTGGTACCTATATGACTTACACCGCCTTAAAATAATCAATCTTCGTGACACTAAATTATATACCCACCAACCCATCATAATATACAGGTTGTTGCAATGTTATTGCCCTCAGATACATACACCAGCTCCTGAACTATGCAGGTTCATCGATCTAATTTCTGCCCAGCCATTAAAATTGTATATGATTAATATAGTTATATGGTTAATGTGAATTAATAATTCTACTTATAAAGAATTTACATAAATTGACCGCCTTAGAGTTTTAAATAACACGTACCGACAGAAAACAATTTTTATAATTTAGTTTAGATAAACAAAATAATACTTTGAATTATAAAAAATTTAGCTCTTGAACACAAAATTAAATAGAAGAAAATATCAACGAAACAACACGCGGTGAGACGTTTTTATATTATATATTATACATCATATAGGTAATACTCGATGATATTAAATTACATTTCTACTTATACTATGTAAGTTTTATTAACTTCTAATTTATGTTAGATATCGTGTAAAAGATTATTTGACTCGTTAAACATGGTTGGTTTTACTGTTCTTGAAACTAATAAAATCATATCAGCTTACATATTATATCACGTTCTCTATACTGATTTAAAAAAATTATAGAACGTACCGTTTTTATACAATTGGGTTTTTTTCTGTAAACTTATAGTATATACTATATATTATAGGACTATACGTTTAGGAGTATTAAAAAAAGTTATGTATTGTACATTAAAGATCGGAAACTCCTTAGCGTCTTTGGTAAACCAATCGTATTTTTATTCCTTGGTGCAATGTTAAAATATTTTAAACTCATTTTAAGGATAACTCAAATTGGCAATAATATTATGATGTGCATAGTGCATGAATGGCAGAAACGTGTTGATGAATATATATACACATCCCCATTTCGTTTGTGGCAACTAGGCCGGTCACGTAAAACGAGGTTTTTGTGTGAATACTTTCCCTACGGGACAATAATATATGCTATGGACTCTACCGTGCTTACTTTCAGATATAGAGCATTAAAAAAAAAAAAAGGATAGTGTATATTGTCGTTGTAAGTACCTACATTCGTCAAGGATTTCAGATGTGATTTGTTGGTAGGAATTCTTCTAATCCCTATTCCCTTAGCATAGGAATTAGGATATCTACAAATCAGGTAACTACTAACTTCGAGTGATGCATAAATACAAAATATAATATATATAGTAAAATGTTAAAATTGCAATCATTTGTATATTTATGAAAAAATATCCTTCTTAAAAATAACAACAAAACAGAATTTAAAAATAATGTTTTAATATTTTTATTGTAGGTTATAATATATACCCTACCTATTCAATGTTTTAAGTATTATAAGTTTTTAATACAACCTTTTTATTTAAGTCTTCTGATTTTACTGTTAAGAGTATATAATTAGTTATCAATTATAACCACTACTAATATCAATTGTTAAAATTAAAATTGATTGTATACAACCAAAAAGAGAGTTACCCTAATACAATGCTAGAAACGTGAAAGTGAAGCTAATCAGTAAAATACTGCTTAAATAATATCTATCAACAATAGTATAATACTAGACACCTGATTTTCACTTGGGAAATAGTTAACAACTCTCTATAGTCTATACTCTATATTATGGTATAATTTTCATATACCTATTATGTAATTATGTTTTACCAATCGTTTAAGGAACTCAATTTTAATTTTTATATATTTTTTAAAAATTATTGTCTACGTTTACTTTTTCCTAGTGTACTTATTTTAATTATTTATCTATATATAAAAATTGTTCTATTTCAATAGCTTTAATGATTAACTTAAAAGAAACTCATTAATGATCATCTTTGTTTGTATACAAGGTCATTGTTTTGCCTAAAGTGTGCATAAATCGTTAAACCTAAATCAGAGTTTGAGGGGAAGAGAAAGGAAGGGGAGAAACAAGATGACGACCATATGGTGTGTACTGTGTTGTGAAATTCCTGGGCTACCCACATTTATTGTACCTGCCTGGCGCTATAAGCTACTTTCATCTGTTATGCATTTACATATACCAGAAATAAAATCTAAGTTTCCAAACTTCAATTCTTGAATTCGTTATTAATGATTATTGTAATAATAATAATTAAATTTTGAATTATGTGATATGCTTTTGATAATAATACACAATACCTTAATACTTTTCGACTCTTCATATTGTTCTAAGTATTACACTGGTATAGGGTGATATTTTAGAATAATTTATTATTATGTAGTTTTGTAAGTAAATTAACATCGCTAGAATCAAAATTGTAATAACTGTCCTTGCGCAGTGTCTGAATTGGGACTTGTACCAATTAATCTCGGTAAATTATATAATATAAGAACTAGTACAATCAATTGGTGTGTCACCACGAATAATTTATTATATGCAGTTTGTACTTTAAATAAAAAGATGGTAAATATTATTAGGATTTATACATACAAATAATATTGTGCCAAAAGTTTTAACATTATTATAAACACGTTTTGTTTTAAAATGACTTATGGGCTTTTAGGTATGTATAATTGTGTATGGTATGTATTGGTACATTTATTACTATTATGGTATGCTTATATTTAGTTCAGTTAATATGTAATTATATTTGTAGAAACATGTAGGATGTAGGAATATTATAATATTATTACATGCTGCAAATGCTGCAATTTATGTGAAACGACTATAGATGTCGCTGGTTGTTCTTGTTCGGGGTCCGCGTGGGTTTTGCGGTACTGTTACTAGTTGCCGTGTGTACGTTGAAGTCCGTCGGTGGTTGTTCGTACCATATTATTATTTACGTTAAATCTGTATGTGTATTTAGTATACGTTTAGTGTTAAACGAACTATATTTCAGTCAGTTTTTTCTATACAGTTTCTGTGCGTTGTTTTATTATTATAGTTCAAACTACTATAAGTGACCGCGGCTATAATTTACCGTGGTTGTTTTTCATATTTTATAAAAATTAATTTTAGGTACTTTGTTATATTTTTTTCATTATTTGAATTGGGTAACTAATTATTTATATAATGCGGTTATTACTTATTATAAATAATTATCATTAATACTTTATATTTCTATAATATATGAATATTAAAACAACACTCGTTGCCTTAAATAACAATTATTAATTGCTTCTATATTTATTGGATTTATCAAATGACGTACCTACTTAAATAAAGCTATATTATAGCATTTATAGCTATTGTTTAATTTTGGAAAACTATTCCCCCTTAGCCAATTTATTTGGATTGATGATTTTAAATTTGATTTTGTTTTCTATTGCATGTGGAATAGTATGTCGATCTGATAATATATTTTATTTATTGTATGGATTTGATCATTCTTTACATATTGCAGTATGCGTTAACTAACTTCGTTCACATCTGGTTTGGTTTAATGGTAACAAATAACAATACTTTTTCAGTATATAAAGGCGGGAAAATAACACTTCCCTTCTGATTCTAATATTTTCCCCCCAGAAATTCTACCCTTTGTAATACACCACGGATTGATATATAAACAAATGTGGGTGGTTTTATAGACCATGTTTAATTGCAGTTTTTGTGCTACCAGATTGTCCAATAAATTGTAATAAATTAGCCTTTTTAATTTAATATCATAATTAATGGACTATTATCATTGATCATACTACTAACTAATTTATTTATATATGAAAACTACATTTACATAAAATATGTTGGTTTACTTTTTTTTTTAAATATTGTTTACTGCCTATATATTCAATACTTGATAGTTATAGTAATCGTCGTCTGCGTGCGGGTGTTCGAGATTATACGTGATTTCGTGTCAAAACATTCCTTTCCGTAATAGGCAAGGAATGTAATGTCAAGAACCTGCAGACTACTGTAAAACAATCGTACATTATCTTTTAACCTATTATTCATCTTGGTCATATTTGTTATTTCATCTGGTTTCAAGGAAAAATTATAGAAGTTCAATATCATTTAACGGAAATAGGGAAAAATATTTAATTATTTAATTTTTCTATTATATTATATAGGTACTATTTCAGTATTTTGTATCTCGCAATTCCATGGTTATTTGTCAATTATATAAAACGTAGGTACCTATACAAAACGTTATTGCTAATAATGAATAATGTGCATAATATACCTTCCTACGTCTTACATAGCCTACACACTAGTTTACTCCAATTGTATCGACCTATAGTACAACTGTAGTAACTACTCATTAAATTATATTTCTTCTATACGTTCATACAATAGTTTCTTTTAAAATTTCAACTATAACTTGTTATGTACTGTTTTGTATTTCATAATTTTAATATGTAATTAGGTATGAAAACAACCAAGTTAATAAACTGTATAGTTTTATAGATAGTTATAACTTATGAGTTTATGACTTATAACAATAATATATACGTGTGTGTATATACCGTATGTATATTTTTTTATAAATTGTACTTATCAAAGTACAATATATTAGTATCATCTAATACCTATACAACTTTATCTGTGTAGTTAGTGCTTTGATAAATAAATACGTAGTTAATAATCACCAGTTGTTGATAAATAATGATATTATTATATTCAAGAGTCCCTATATGTTTTGTCTTCTATAATAGGTCACGGAATCGCCCTTGTGCCACTATTAATTGAGCGCATGCTTTTCAACTATTTTTTACTACTAAAATATTTGTCTTAATTTTACACAATTACCTATAATGTATGTTGTATGTTAGTTCTTTTCTTATTTCGTCCATATATTGTTTATACATATAGTTCAAACGAGTCAAACGGATGTATTTTGTTTGAACATTTGATCATCATGTCTGATATACGAAACAGTTTATGGGCACATCCACCCTTACCACCTGGCAAACGAATATTAGATCGTTCAAGCTCTGAAGACAGAAAATCAACTTTTGGATTTATGCGAAAATTTCCATCCGTCCGGCGCAATAGCAAAAAAGAGAGCATGATGGATACAACTTATGAGAGTTTCGACAGTCTATTCGAAGACAACGATATTGTTTTAGTCGAAACCGAATATGTTGAAGATTCCAGTAAGATCAGAAGACCATTTACGTCAATGTTCAGAAGCCGATCTGATGGAAATTTAGCTGGGTCTTCAATAAGTGGTTCGATTTTGTCTCACGAGTCTACAGAACCAAAGGGGTTTACCAAGTATCTGAGAGCGCTGAGTGGAAGTTGGAAAAATTTATTGAATAGTAAGTGAATAAAGAACAAGAATAAAACAAAACAATAGAATATAATAGATTCTTCTAGTTTTTGGGATTCGATATAATGGTAGGTATAATATAATATATATTATATTAACCTGTACTAACGTCGAATGTCAAATGAACAGTTCAAACGAACATTTCACCAGGTATAATATTATATAATGTACACGTAGGTACCTACGATTTAAATAATGTACCCGGACGTACAACACTTATTCAAATCTAATGAATTAAACTTGAGAACTCAACTGAAAACAAAAAAAATTATTCCTAGTTCGATTATACGGAAAAGGCTATAATAATAATTCATATTATTGTATTTAATCGTGTGTGCCCATTGTCCAAACATACTCTTGTTTCCGTCTTTTCTGTCCCCCAAGTATCAACTAAGCAATCATTTTAATTGTGTTTAGTCTTTAGTAGGCTACACATATTATTTTAATATACGACTTCAGATCATTGAATACAGCGTTGGTGTTTAGTCATTACAAATAAATTAATAATAGTTTCAACATTTTTTTACCATAGTGTTATGTTCTAATGACTCTGCAATCAATATAATTATTACCGTCGTGTTTTGATTACTAAATATATGAATAATCATAATAATATTATGTTCTTGTACCGAATATTAAAATCCTGAAAACTCATGATGAATTTTTACATTTTTCTTTCTAATAATATTTAAAATATTTATAACTTAAATCTATTTATTTTACTCGGGTTGTAAACAAATAAAAACTAGTTATTTGATTTAGATATTTTTACGACATGTATACAAATACGAATATAATCTAATACAATTTCTTTAGAATTTATTGAATACTATTGATATTATTGTTAAAGCAACAGTTCAATGGCATTATTTAGATTGTAAAATGTTTTCAATAATTAAAATGGTCATTAATACTTAACACAAATGTAATTTATTTTAATGAGTCTAATTGTACGTTAATAATTATTATAAAATTGAAAATGATACACTTGCTGCGTGTGTTTACATAATATACTATTAGAAGTGTATGATTATTATAGTTCATGAATCTTTTGGTGTCCAGTACCTGATCCTGGTGTAGCTTGATTCTCTTAAAATTTAGTTAATATTAAGAGGACTGTTACACCCACGTTTGCTGTTTCCTCTTTACAAAAGTACAACATAATATCAAATTTGCGTTCATCAATCTTGTGTTGTTAGCTTTAATATTGGAGGGAATCGATCTATTATCAAACTTAAAGAATATCATCTATGTTTGTACGACTTTTTGTATGGTGTTTAAATTTTTAAGCAAGTTAGGAGTAAGTTTTACTTTATTATTTAATCACAAAAATAATACGATTTAACAATGATCATGAGCATTTAAACACATTTGAAAGTTAAAAACCGTAAAAGACCGACGTGCAGAATATGTTCTTTATGTTCTCCGCCTTTAAATTTGATAATAGAACAATTCATTCTAATATTAAAACTAACATCAGAAAATTTGTTCTTCTGGACGAAAATTTGCAATGTTGATCGTTTGTTAACGGACACATCATATTATGCGTATGTGACGTCCCTTAAGAATATAATTTATACGTTTTCATATTTTGTTTCCATTTATAATAGTCTGGAAAATAAAAATGTGCATAATTAATTTAAAATTATCTTTTTCTAAATTAAAATAAAATTTTGCAAATTTAAATACGCATCTGTTAATTTATGTACATAGTTAAAATTATTGATAATTTTTTATAAATGCTAATTAAAACTATTTAGCGATCAAAACATCTAAATTAGTATTGTTTGATATCGTCCAATCTTGGTGTTATTGCTAAAAACAATCATTAAAAAAAATGATTTATGTCTAAATATTTTCTAATATATAATTTAGTACGTTTTAATTTATACACTTAACATTTTAAATTACCAATTCACTTTTCAAAATGATTCTCATTATCACTAGGTTTAAATGTACTTAATCTTAAATCATACTTGGCCACAGATTTTTTGTATTGATGTTTGATAATACCTACCTACATTTCACTATTTCAATTTTCAGGTACTTGATTTATATGAATAACTTGAGTCAGATATAATATATATATTAACTAAATTATTCCTTAATTACCGAAATGTTTTATTTAAAGACCGTTAATCACTAAAATATAACATTTGTACTCTATAGTATGTATTAGGTATTCTATAGTTTATTATAATATATAATACATTATTAACACTTTCGTTACCTTATTTTTGATTAGTTATTGTTTTAATATAAGTACCTATATTACGAAACAATATTATGGATATATTATACTACTTTAATACTTATCATTTACTTTATTTTTACTTACTTTACGTGGATCTTATATAAAATATGTTATTTTAGATTCAACATTTAACGAATATACTTTACATATGGAACGTTTTTGGTTTCATAAGTAGAGGTAATACATTTTTATTGAGCATCTACTTACCACGTGTCACCCTTCATTTTAAAACCAAAATTAACATCTGTTTTGTATAATGTTTAACGCAGGATACTGTTATGGATGTATACTAAAAGTTTAAGATCTTGTCTCTTATCAAACATTCATAGTTACCATATTATAATTTATATTTATAGATTTTTAACGTAATATAACCGAATCGTTAAAAATACTATTTAAATAGTATTCAAAGTATTCATTTAATATGCTGATTGCTTAGGTTTTTATCGCTTATAGTTGTCTACAACTTTATACGTTTTTTTTTAGTTTCATAGAGTTAGTTATTATTTTGCATTAGTGCATATTACAATTTAGCGGACTTCAATATAAAAAAAAATATTGACAGAATATTATATATTGCTTCCCACGTATGTTTTTTGTTCTTTTACAAAGGTGCAACACCTACATTTTAGTTGTATTCGCAACCACGCAAATTTCCAATTTAAGAAAACTGGTTTGGTATATTATATATTATATTTATAGGTACTATATATAGGTCTTGCATATGTTCAAATCTGTTCAATAAAATAAATCAAGGTTATTAAACATAGTAGTTAAGTGTTATTTTCAAAAATATGTCTATCTAACAGATCTATCCATTTATTATAATTTTGAATTACAATACTTTTCTACCTACTTACATCGTTACGCAAAATATAAATTATAATATGTTATATTATAAAGAAAATGTGCTTATTAACACAAAATATATTCCTAGCGATCTAATAATGTTAAAGTGTTAGAACACATGTCCGTTTTTTTTCCGACAAATATTAGGTACTTACTATTTATATTTAAATGTTGTTTATGTTTAGTCGTAGAAGCTGTAGATAAATTTACGTAGAATTAATATAATGTAAACGAAAAATAATAAATGGAATATTAAGCACGTATAAAACACTGTAATAGTGTTATGCAGTTATTTTAAAGATAAATTGTGTAATTTCAAACCAAAGATTAATTAATATAATGGTCATAAAAGAGTTGATGATTATTATTGATAAGTTATAATAATTATTTTTCTAAATACAGTGAAATAACATTATTGCTTAAGTTCAACCATATAAATAAATCAAGGTTTTTTTGCTTATGTGAATAGTGATTTTTTACATCCTTGAACTACCCTCCAAAAGCTTTTGACTTCGTTCTATGAGGCTCGACAACATAACTCCCCCTGACAAGCGCTTGAGTTTCAAATAAGTAGTAGCTGGCTTTTGTAAAATCAGAGCCATTGTTTAATAGGACGCTGAACCTTTTAAAATCTTTTATGACTTTATAGTAGATATACATTGAATATTATGTGTTATTATAAAATGTATTTTATAAAAAAAAAATTTTTTCTAAAATTATTTGATGTACTGATGTTACAGTTAGCAGTATGAACAAAACTCAGAAAAATGTTCCTCAAGTAAAGAAAGTCCCTCCACCAGCCATTCCGGATTCAGTTGCATGCCGACATTCAGGTAGTAGTTTTGGATCAACAGGATATAGTAGCTCCAGCGATGATGCATTTCTAGATCCAAATACTTGTATCAAACCAGGTAAAATTAATGGAAATAATGATATTTCTTGTATATTAACCTATAATTTATTTGTTTGGATATCTTTGGACTACTTTACAATTTTACATATCATTTTATGAAAACTGATCATATCACACGGCGAATATGCTCTAAAAGTTTCGTAATACCCTATCCCTATGTATAGATGAAGCATTCAATGCATGTGGTACCTACTTAAGAGGATGTCAGGTCACACATTCGTTTACAATCTCTGCAACATAGCAAATGTGCGTTCAGCAGAACTTGTGTCGTTGGCTTTAGTATTAGTGTAAATTGATCTATTATCAAACTTGAAGTTAAAAACGTTATTTGTGTTTGTTTGTTGGTGTTTTTACGATATTTCAATTTTTATACAAGTTTATAAGTATGTAAAATATTGTTATTTAAAAACGCTTTAAAATTTAAATATTTTAATGAAGTCAACATACAAACATGGATAATATTCTTAAACATAAGTTCTATAAAAGGTAAATTCACTCTAATGCTAAAGCTAGCAGCATAAGGTTGGTTCTAGTGAAATCAAATAGTGTACTGAAATCCTAATTTTTAAACTTTCTTATAATTCTTAGCAAACTGCAAAAAAAAATGGTGAAACTTATGGTGAATTTGTTAAAAAAAAAAAAAAAAATTATAATAATAACCTAATATGATACAAAAACCAGGTGTTTGCCATTTGCTTGTTCACCTCTGCTCAGCATACTATTATGTTGTAATAAATCATTGCATTAAAAATCACATTCTGTTAAGATATTATGCTTTTCCTTAGGTACTTGTTTATTATATAATTTGTAATTTCGCTTTTAAGATTTAAATACAAGGTTATTCTAACTTGCCATAATTAAAAAAAAATGTACAGACAATCTTTTTATACACCTTAAGGCATACTGTTAAAAGTTAAACCATAACAAGACATGTTAACAATATTATTAAAAGAAAAACTGTATTTTGAAAAATCTATTTAAAAAAAAGAGCACTGAAACTACTTAAAAACAGTATACATAAAAGCATTATAATTAGTTGTATTTTAGCCGGGGACATTGATTATCTACCATTTATCTTAAACTAAAGACATAATGACATATTTTTATATGTTTAAGTAAATTATATTCTGCATATATTTACATTTTTTTGTGACCCACGACCAAAATAATTATTTAACATTTTTTAACTATATATTTTGAAGTTAAGAATAATTTATTTTGTAATACTAGATATCTACGATGGATCAGATACTTATTGTCCAATTGGAAATAAATCACCATCGTCACAATTCAATCATCCAGCTTTCACATTTCCAGGATCTACTTCGGTAAATAAAATCAATATTTCAATATAATTTGTAACCTTCAATTTCCATTCATATAAATATTTATTTTGTGCTTAGTATTCTCACCCCAGTGGAAATATGAAGATGTATTACCACCAATTGTCACTTCAGGAAGATCAGGGAATTGATATGACTCAAAGTCCTGGTCGTGATAGTCCTGGTTCATCTGGTTCTGGTTCAGGATCTCGTCACTCAACGGCAAGTTTAGATAGTGGTCGTGCTTCAGGGTGTCATCTCCGAGGAAACACTCATTGGCATCCAGAACTTAGTCCGTCTACTAGGGTGGAAAGACTTCTAAATCAAGGGGTTCCAGTATGTATTTGATTTGAATAAAGTATTAATGTTGATATTAATTTGGATTTATTCATAGGATAAAGATATAATGTACAGTTGGTTAGTTGATCTCCATCTAGAAGAATATTTACCATTGTTCATATCTGCTGGATATGATATGAGAACAGTTTCAAAAATGACACCAGAAGTAAGTTAATTTATATATTTCATTTTTAAAACTTTTAAAAGTTAAAAATACCAAATGCCCAGTGTAATATTTTGAAACACCTATTGAATATAATAATATGATGTCAGTAATACAAATAGTATATTTATTTATTTATTTTTTTTATTTTTCTTCATTAATATAAAGTTACAAACAATAATTTAATTTTAACTCTTAACAATTTTTAATAACATTTTTAAATGAATTTAATCTAAATAGATACATTATGTAATGTTAGAAGCAATAAAAAGTAGTTAGAAAAAATAGTTAATAGATTAATCCATCGTTGTTTCTAAATAATTGATTTAACACAATAGAACATTTAATTACCTATACACATATTTTATTTTTATTTTTAATTTATAGGATTTAACTGCTATTGGTGTAAAGAAACCTAATCATAGAAAGAAATTAAAAGCAGAAATTGGCTTATTAAATATATCTGATGGATTATTAGACTATATTCCTGTAAGTATTGTTTAATGTACACTTGTGCTATATTTGTTTTATTATTAATATTGTGAATGAAATTATTTAGGGATCATTAGATGAATGGCTTAGATTACTAAGACTTGAAGAATATGGATCAGCGTTAGAAGCTCAAGGTTATTCCACAATAGATGATGTAACTCAGTTGACATGGGAAGACTTAGAAGATATTGGAATAGTCAAACTTGGGCATCAAAAAAGATTATTACTAGCAATTAAACGAGTAAAGGATATTAAAGCTGGAAAATCATTTGTTCCTCATTCTCCATATATTATTCAAACTCAAGTGAGTAAAAATTATAAATCAAAAAAATTGATATTAAAAATGTTTCTAAATGTAAAAAAAAATCAACTTAATTTATATATAGAAAAAAAGACACCAACAATTTCTATTAAACTTCAAATTATTTAAAATTATTTTATTTTTACTAAGCAATTAGTTATATCACTATGTATCCATCCACACAAATTTTACTATTATTTAGTAATTTTGTAGCTCTTATAAAATAAAAACAATCGTTTATTTTTCACCAAAAACAAATATATTGAAAAAATTTTACTTACACCATTGTTATAGTTGATTTATATATTATATTTTTCTGAGAATATTTAATTTTTTCAACACTTTATGGGTTGATATTATTAAAAATGAATTACACTATCAAATTTAAAATATTTAATAAGCTGTATCTATTCATTTACCTAATAACTTCACATAAAAACATTTTTTACCCATTTAAATGTTCTTAAATATAAGTAGGTATTTTGAAAATTGTATTGTTTTATTTTTAATAATGTAAACACTGCACTGCATTTCCCATTTTTGTTTTATAATTTGATTAATTTCCCTTAGATTTTTATTTTCTTATACAATTTTAGTGGCCAAACTTTTTTAATTTTATTTATATAGTAAACAATGTGGCACTATGAATTATGAAAATAGGGATGTAAGTACTACAAACTATTGCTCGTTTCTTTGAATTTGGTTTCTTGTAAAAGCATGTTGTGTATATTTAATTTGCATGTCTACCTTTTTATTTTTACAATGCTTTCAATTTGCATTCATTTTTATTCAAACCGTATATTGCATCCAAAAGGCCTGCATCGAGTCGCCATTAAGCATTGTAAGCAGCAGTTCTGGATGTGGAACGAGTATCACTAACATAAGTTGCGGTACGGGCAGTGTTGAACTTGATTTGCCACGTGTTCATGCCACGTATCACAGCTTTCATCAACCTTGGGAATTAGAGAGTAGCAAACAACTATATTGCCAAACAGATATTGTTCCCATCAAGGTATACATCTATTTTATAAATTATAATTTGCTATCATCATGTCTTGTTGCTTTTTTATCAAATTCTGAGCTTTTGTCAATTTACTAAGTCCCCTAGACCTACTCCGGATTCGAACTGGACACTCGAATTTCAGGAATCGGTAAAGAATTATTAATTTCCCCCTTTGATTTTTTCTAAATTATATTTGAAGTCAAAAGTTTATTTATTAATATTAAATATAACTTTAGCTTAGAGGAACACATCGTGGCAAATCATTGGAAAGTCTACATGAAAATATAAATTCAACGAGTGGAGGTACAAGTAGCTTTGTTGGTCCTCCGCAGTGGAGACATCAGCAAAAAAGTTTTGAAGATGGTGATTTAACACCAACAAACGAAACATCTATTCTTCATGAATGTGGTGGTACACTACCTAGACCAAGAGGACTAGTTAAGCCAAGATTAATAGCTAAAGTCCCCGCTTTATTAACTCAAAATATGTAAGATCAAAAAATTATACTACATTTTTTCCAAATATTCACTTAAATAAAATAATATGTATTTTTGTTTTCAGAGAAGACTGTTCAGGATTAAATACGTTGAAACGTAGACCACCATCGCCACCTAAACGGCAACAGTCTTGTGAAGATAACAAAAAGTGTCATCAAGTAACTGTTGTTGCTGATCTACATTGTATTCCAACGTTACAATCTAAATCTTTAGGCAAATGGACTACAGACAATATGTCTCCTAAACATAACTTGGAGGATCATATTGGATCAAATGCAAGCTTTAAAGTAAAATATTTATCTTTTAAGTACAATGTGTAAATATAAAATTATAAATAAATACTGTATTATAGTCAAATTCAAGTACTGAATCAGATACTATTCCATTTGCCAATGAAAATGCTGGCACAATTAAACAGAGAACTATCAGATCTACAAATGGTTAGTCTATAGTTTTTATTTGTTATATTTAAATTAACATAATATTTTTCACTGTGTTCGATTTTAGAATTAATTCAACCCATGCTAGCTGAAGGATCTCATTATACAACTTCAAGTTATTCAATGCACTCAACAACAAGTCAATTTTCGTTAATGCCTCCAAGGTAAAAACAAATATTAATACTTTATAATTTTTACATACTATAACTGAAAAACCAACCAATTTAATTAACTGTGTAATAACTTAAGTCCCCCAATAGATTTTTAACATATATAGATTTAGATACAAAATATCATTTATATGTAATTTTTATCTTATATTTTTATGACAGTGGAAAAAAGGAGCCAGCAGATGTACTCAATGACATCGGAAATATGTTAGCCAATTTAACTGATGAATTAGATGCCATGTTAGAAGAAGAAAAAAGACAAGGTCTCAATGATTAAAAATTAATTAATTCTTTATAAGAATTATGTTAATTGTACTTGCCTTAACTGTCAAAAAAAGTTACATTCGTTCCATCCATTCAAAAAGAGACAATTTTTATGTTCCTTTTTTTGTTTCTGTGAGTTTTAAGATTCAAATAGCAAAAAAAAATTATAATCTTATTTGTATCTTACTAAATCTGTCAATATTAGGCTATAAAAAAGAAAACACCAATTGTAAATGTACTCACTCCTTGCTCTTAAGTTTTAATTTAAAATTAGTTTACAATTTTAGCTGCATGGCTGATACTATCTTTATCTCACCTAAACATTGTAAATTGATATGGATTGGAATCAGCCTTATGACTTTTATATATTATTTTCATAACCACAATTAACTAAGGTATTACTCAAATTTATTTTTGAAATTTTAAGATTTAATATTATATAATTTCTATGCAACTAAAATACTATATTTGTTACTATTAGTGTAGACATATCACCTTAAACGTCTTCCTGTTTTATAATTTTAATCGAAAATATAACTTGTTTTTACGATTTAAAAAACTTTACCCAAGTTATATAGAGACATATTATATTATATTTCTAAATTATTATTTATAGGTAGCTATTTTAATTAGGTTACTAGTCAATCGTAGGTGACTTTATTTTAAAATTGAATATTGTATAAAATACTTTTAGGGACAACATATTTGACTGATTAGAGAGAGGTGCACACTGCACAGTTAGTAATCTTTGAACCATAAAGATTAATATTGTTTAAATACCCAGTGTCCATGGATAATATTTTATATCTGTTAGTATCAACATAAATGATTTAATGAACTTTGGTGAAGCTATCTATTTATTTGTATTAGTTAAAAAGTAATTTTTTCACTCAAGTTAGGTGAACCAGATCTTCACCACATGAGAATTTAATTTTGATTATTCTTTATGGGCATTTCCATTCTTTAGCAAAATAACTTTTATATTGTATGTACAAACAATAACTCAGCTATTAGAATTTTATATAAGATACACCAAGTAACATCATATTCAGTGGCCCGTGCATTGAGTTTGTAAATGTTATTTAATGATTACCTAAATAATATTTAGAATCTAAACATTTGTATATTATGGTAGGAGGTTTATAATATAAACTGAGAATAACAATTTTATTATATTTATATACTGGTAGATTTTTATACCACAAATTATTATGTACATTAATAAACAATTTTGAATAATATATTGTGTTCATCTTAATTTATTGGCCCTAACCTTTTGTACTTGATCGACTAAAGTGGATTAATATAAATTATAATTCAATGAGATAGATGGCAAATTAAATTAATAATAGTTGAAACTATCTATTGTATGTGCATTGATGCCTTGGATAGGATAATTTTAATTTGATAAAATATAAATTAGATAATAAATTGAAATACAATAAAATTAATAAATTATGATTTATAATAATATGTGTATTTTTTAGTCAAAGATATATAGTTATAAGTTTGGACTACTTTTCACCAATGGATTCAGACAATATGCTTGTGCTTGTTAGGGAACGCAGTTTGAAAGTAACTTACAGAGTAAATTGAAAGAGTCGATGTTGCAAAGTCGTTTACTCAATTACTCCCAGCCCCCAGGACAATGTTGGGATTAAAGTTTTAATTTTTAAACATGAAAGTCATGTTTGAAGAAGAAAATGTGTTGACCGTTGATGTTTCTGCATTCAATGCTAATTAATGCACAGAGTAAATTTTCAAGTTCATCTCAATGTTAGTAGATGTTAATAACTTACGTCAATATCGACGAACCGCTAAAATAGTAATGCAGTTAAAAGGACATTACGACATTTTGTTGTATCCGTCTTACACTTGCGTAACATGTAAATTGTACACTCAGCAGAACACGTTTTGCGCCGTAAGTTTAAAAATTAAAGTGAATTGACCTCTGATAAAATTTGAAAGTAAGATTATTATTTAGGCAATCTGATCGGCTTTTTATTGTATTTTAATTTTAAAGCGAGTTATGAGAATTTTAAAATTATAAATTGTTTGTACATCTTATAATACTCATAATTCGCTTTAAAATTAAAATATAACAAAAACCGGTGAGATAATAATCTTACCTTTAAATTTTATAAGAGGTCAATTACTCTAATTTTTAAATTAACTTAGCTACACGTGTTTTTCTGAACGTACAATTTGCTATGTTGCGAAGAGAACAAATGTCGGTGTAACGTCCTCTTAATCTTAGGCCCATGGTTTAAATAACTTAAAATTTGTCTAAAATGTTTGTAAAGATTATTGTGCATATGTTACGTCCCAACTGAGGTCGATATATACATCAACGCAGGAATGAAATACTGATGTACTTGGTTATGATGAGTGTTTATTTAAGTACAAAATTACAATGTATATAAGCTATGGTGGAGATGTAAGCGATGTTACGACCTGACTACAATTAATGTCTTGAGTATCCCTAACCGTCTGCCGAGCTCTTGTCCCGGGCTGGTATTTATATGATCGAGTCCTTTGGAGTGGGTGGTTGTATCAATGGCCAAATTCGGTCATGAGACTGCGTCCGGGTCTCGTACTTGGTATGCTGGTCGACTCGTATCCTTCGTATGAATGTTTGACTTTCCTAGAGAGATACTTTTACAGTGTCCCTAGCGTGTACTATAATATTGCCTTATTAATTATATCGTCGAGTACTATTAGAAACGTGCGCTACGTCGTACATTGTTATTACTTAATTACTAAATACGTAGGTACGTAACACATATAAAATATACTTAATACCGAAAAGTAAAAGTACCTAAGAATAATGTTTTTTGAATTAAAACAAAATTACTAAAATCGTTACTTATTATTTATTCAATTAATCACCGGGAAAGATGTTGGACTTGGCGACACGCTGACTTCGGCCCAACCCATATAACGAGTTCAGAGTATGAACCTCGGCGGTGACTATTTTTCGTCTGGTGCGGGTCGAGACACCACCGGTCGTTCCCACCGAGTCAACCATCAACTGCAGTTGTACGTCTTCCATTGAGCCGTATATAGTAAAGCCCGGTGCAACTCGTTTGCGCACAATCCAAATTGTTTACCTGGATATCGATGACTCGTTTGCGCACAACGAATACCGTCGTTAACCTAAAAACGGACGACTCGTTTGCGCACAACATAAACACTGCATAACATAATATATTTTATATTTTTAAATTTGGACTAACTTAAGTAATTGATTATCAGTACATCAGCATATCAATATTCAATATATCATTATCATCATTGAAAATAATCGACGTGTATTAAACATAATATTTTTAAGCAGTCGTTCTCCAGAAAGCGGTACTACCTACTGACTAGTGACTATGGATATCGAAATTTGTGATATTTTTGAAAGAGAATTTCGAACTTTAAAATCTAGTGATACACATTTTAGGTGTACAAATAAAAAATGTTCCTTGAGTGATGTAGTAAGGTTAGTTAATAATAAAAAAATATAAAATTTTAAAAATTAAAAACACGCATAGAACCACTATTACTTCTTATTAATTGTATAATTATATATTTATTCAGAACAGACACACACGACATGCACATTTTTAATCTGTACAAAACAGATGGTCCTAAGCCTATATTAAAGTGAGAAGAGAAATGTGCTGTTCTGCTCAAAGTGAAATGTGCGCAAATGAGTTGTACCTTTATAATTTAAACCCAAAATATGTGTGCGCAAACGAGTTGTGATTTTGTGCGCAAACGTGCCGTAAAAAAGGTAAATGTGCGCAAACGAGTCGCACCCAGTAAAGCCATACCCCTTTGCTCAAATCGGTGGTTAAGGATGGTGTACCTTCTTGACTTGAATGATATTAGGAAAAAGTATATTTTGAAGAAAACTATATTGGAACCTTGGAGGTACATTTAGGAAAGTTAAAAAAACAAACAGTGGAAAATCGATTGAACATCATGTATGTCAATGATTTGCTGAAGACAAATAAAATATTCCTATTTTTTGCAAATTTTAAAACCTATATGCCTGTATGGCTATATCTAGAGTATCTCAGTCAATTTTAGGTTTAGGAACATGGTCAATGGATCAAAATGACTTCGAAAAAAAATATCTATTCATATCTGGAGACAAAAGTAAGGGTTAGGTGGACAGATTCTGTCATCTATTTGTCAGTTCATCATGAATCATGATGTTAATTAAAGTAATAGGAATTCAAATTCACCGCTGTAAGTTGATTCTCTACCGTTAATACTTAATATTTTAATAATTGCTATAAAATAAAAAGTTGGTAAGAGGGTATGAATGTATGATCTACTGTACATTCGCCATTATAGGTGTCTAGAGAGTTCTGAGTTACTGGATGTGTTAAATTTGAATTCAAATATCATTGTTTCCGAAAAACGATTCTGAGCGAAGACGCCAAGAAAGTCTGTAAGCACTCAGCCTATTGGCTATAATAATAATATTACCTACTAAATAAATGTTATGATATTTTTGTGATAAAAGTAATTTATTTTACTGTTAAGCATTCTGCATTAGTACTACATAAATACATAATACCTACATAGTTGATACTTGATAGTAATTACTAATTAGTGGCTACGTGTGTGTTTGTTTTGGCAGAATTTTTAAGTGGGCACCCGTAGGTATCTGCCATGCCCGGGTGGAGGGCGACGGCCTCTCTCCGGAAACCGTGACTGCCAAAAGAAAAACGCCGCCCGTGGCCGAGTTCAAACTGGCGACGGTGCGCGTCGCAACCGACGCCTTAGGCCACTCCGTCCTTCATTAAACATTTATTTGGCACTTATTTTACTATTTCCCGTGGTTATAAATGAAAATATCATTAAACACGAATTATGCATAAATCCAATTTTTGATTTACTCTAACTTTGTCAGTTTTGAAAATAGAAATAACTTTTTATACAATAAATGTTTAAAAAAAATACTCTACCCGAATCTGCAAAAAAAAACTGGGGTTGCCATTTAAAAAAAAGCAAGTCGTGTTGCGCATCCGCGTACCGAGTGGGCTAAAAATTTGAAACTGGTCTGAAAACATGTATTTAAGTGTTCCCTATCACCTCCAGAAAACCCCATTTCAATACAAAGTCACCCATCTGAGATATTCAGTGGTACCTAAATAACTTGATCCACTGTATAGTATAGTATAATGTATATACTATAATATAGTATATATAATGTAGGTAGTTCAATGGAAAAGTCTTTAGAGTCTTTAGAGTAATGGAATACTCTCTATGAGATACTCAGTATAAGGCACGGATATCAGCTATATCCGTGGTATAAGGTCTATCGTCTATGATGAAAATGTATTTCAAATAGGTAACAAAATTATATTTTGTTGATAAGAACAAAATGATAACGTTGTTGACTGTAGACCACAGATATAGATAATAATATTATTAAAATAATATATTATAAATATTATCTATATCTGTGCTGTGGCCTGTGGACGGACTCTTAACAAAGGTTGTAGTCTGTAGATATATACTGGTTGCACAACTCTATGAAATAAATTGACCCTCTCAATTCTCTTAATTGCATTATCAATATTATCATATTGAAATATTGAAGGGTCCATAAATCAATTTAATATATGTGTTGTGTAACCAGTATAATATATACAACTGTGCTCATATAGCATTTAAAATTTTAGACATGGCCCTTGTGTCAGTCGTGAGTGATGAGTCAGTAGTCAATACTCAATAGTCAGTACTCAAACTCACTTACTCAGTAAGTTGTACTCACTGCGTTAAGCAACACGTGGTCGTTCGCCCGCCAAATCGACTGCGATGATGTATTACCAAGCTCTGATCTATATACCGTACGCTATTCTGGTCAATATTTTTGCGTCGTACCTGCTGACTGACTACTGGTTGAACGTAATTTTAGACAAGTACATTGGAGACGAGCCCGTCATAACCCGATATTTCGATCACATTGTCGGTACGTACATAATTATTTGGCATTAAATAATTTATAACGAAATAAGAAAGTATAACTATTAACTCTGAAGTATTAACTAGGGTAATTACTAACTAGTTACTAGTATTAGTATAAGTAGCTGAACAGGTAGGTAACTATACCATTGGTTAAATAGGTATTGCAATGGTTTGCTTGCCTTTAATATATTCAGCCCCCCCCCCCGCAAGTCAAAAGTTGAAATTTCGCCTATGATTGTATGGCTAGAACTTAATCAGCAACACAGACGACAGACGACAGACCCCTTAATTCCGCCTATGAATTAACATTCTGGTTTAATTCATTAAGTAAGATCACAAAATTGATATTCCAATCTATTCTGTGGTAATCATCAAAAATATAAAAAAATATTTATGAAGTATCTCATAACAGTATTATGCTATAATATGACTAATAGGAGTGAATTAAATAATTTGTTTCTATAATTTTAAGTAACTATTGCATACATCATATTAAAAAATGTACAATTTTTAATAACAACGACTTGCGCTGTGCATCTTGAATACATTTATGTTGACAATAGTAACTAATAACTATATAATAACTAATAAGTAATATAATAAACGTTGGTTGAATTTTCGTAAAATCTATCAGAATTTTCATTTTTAAATTAGTGTTAACTTTCGCGTCATTTCGAATAGACCTGATACTATACTCTTTTCAGAATAAGAACGCACCAGAATTACGTAACAAAACCGGTTTTGTCCGTGGCCGCCTGGTTCCTTCTTATTCTGAAAAGAGTATAATATATGAACTGTGCTTTCCTACCCCCATGATATAACTATATAACAGGTTATCATCGCGAAAACTGTTAAAATCACCGTGGTCAAAATGTTAAAAATGTCTAAAATATCATGGAGTAAAGAGTTTTATTATTTTACTCCATAGAACCGGGATTTTTTTTTTTACCAAATAAAGTATTATAATATACAATATTACAATATTATGTTTTTTTATAGTTTTAAGTTGGGTGAATATATTATTATATTTGTTCTCAAAAGAATTTAGTTAAGGTATTTATTTGAATATGTATGTCAAGCAAACGTTTCTATGATTTATATTTTGTAACTGCTTAGCCAAAGATATCTTTATAGATCTATGTAAATACTATACAGCATGATTTTTTTTTAAGCATGCTCACCCTATTTTTATGTTTAAATTATACATGATGTATTCAAATTCTGATTTTTGAAATTTTTAAATACAGACGGAGACCATATTTTTATTTTCGAATACTTGAGATTTTTTTGTACCTCTTAAGGATGATCCTGTGACAATACAAACTTCAGTTTTTCAAATAGACTACACCGCGTAAAGGTAGTCACGATAACCGAATTACTTATTTATTATAGAACAGTTATTTGGTTAGGTAGCCACGATAACCGATAAGTACAAACATTTTAACAAGTAGTTTTTGAGTTATAAAACGTCGTGTAAGGATAATACGTGTATGGTAATGGGTTAAGAAGATTTTGGGTCTTAGATGATTTAAAATTTTAGTAATTACTATTGATCTATCAATGTAAATAGTTTGTAAAAATGATCCAAGTATAATAAATACTAGATCTAATATTACATATACCTTATATTTTTGTAAAACCATATTTAAAGATTATTATCCTAAATACAAACATTTAATAACTGAGAAACTACTTATAAGAATTTTGATTTAGATACATTTTATGCTAGTTAAACAAAAAATCAGCCCATTAAATCCGGTGTCGTTGTGATTCTAAAATAGAAATTTGAGATCATACTTGTTGAACACCTACTTTCTTGAAAATGTCCACGACTAAGTTTGGTATAATATAATCTATAGAATTACATTGGTGGTATATTTTAACTTTTCCCATTTTTGTATTAAGTATATAAAATGCATGTATAAAGATTGTGTACAAATAATTTACCAAATCGGAAGAAAAAATTGCCCTTGCTATTTAAAAGTAGCATTAGCTCTTAGCATCAAAACAACGTGTTGTTGTTGTATACCAATTATAATTATTTGCTTTTATTAATATGTACTTGTGTTTTATGAAAATTGTATTTCTTTCCTACAATAGTTTTTATATGTATTGAAAATTTAAATTATATTTTCTAAATTGTTCCATGTTCTAATGTCTTAATAACATATTTTTTAGTGGGCGGAGGAACGGCAGGTATTGCTGTAGCTTCGCGTTTAGCAGAGAATGAAGCACATACTGTTTTATTAATAGAAGCTGGACCCAAAGTATCATTATTATACGATATACCTCTTGCCACACCAATGTTCCAAAAGTCACCAATCGATTGGAAACACCGAACAGAGTCACAGTTGGAAGCATGTCTTGCAATGAAAAATAATGTATTAAATGCCTATTATATAAATATTTAGTATAAAATTAAATTTTTTTTGGATAAATAATAAATTCATCATAATATTAATTATATACAAGCTATACGGCAGTCATATATGATCCTGTTTTTTCAAGTCTAGTCAATGGCCCGCAGGAAAAGTCTTGGGGGGCAGTAGTCGCATAAATTTCAATATTCATGTAAGAGGGCATATTTCTACTGATTATTTATCGTGGCAATATGAACAAGATTGGACCAAAGAGGATGTTCTTTACTACTTCAACAAATATGAAAAAGCTGATACATATTATAATAGTAAGTATGTTTATGTTAAAAAATATATTTAACAATAAGAATTAGAAGTAACTTATCACTATGTGTCTTGATTTTAAACAAACATTAATGTACAAATGAGAAAATTACACAACATAAATAATAATATATAAAACCACATTAAAATTAAAAACCATACAACCAGGATCACCCAATAAAAAACAATTCTTCAGTCATCAGCCAACACATGTGACACCAATTGCAACAGCTATACTTGAGGCGGCCAATGAGTTGGACTTTAATACTTCATTTGATATGAACAACGATGGTTTTCATATTTCCAGACGAGATGGTGGTAGTTTCTCGTTGACACCAGTGTCAATAAGAACAGGAGCTAGATTAAGCGCTGAACACCTATACTTAAAATCAAGAAAAAAAAAAAACTTAACTGTGCTCACAAATGCTTTAGTTACAAAGGTTATTACAGCATAAAATATTTGAGTAACAAAGGTTTATATTATATTAAAATTAGTAACATCTTAAAAAATTATTATTATTTCATTTAAGTAGGTGCTATTTAAACATAATTTTGAAGCGAATGGAGTTATGTACAACAGGTTTGACCAAGTTTATAAAGTACATGCACTTAAGTCAGTAGTCATGTCTGCAGGAACATTGAATACGGCAAAAATTCTTTTATCGAGTGGTATTGGACCGGCACACCAGCTTAAACCGTTAAAAGTAAATAAGTAAACATTTTTTGAAAATTTTTTTTTAAAAATAATATTATAACTTTAAGATCCCTGTGATTGCGGATTTACCAGTAGGAGAAAACTTACAAGATCACATTATTACAGGATTGGATATGATAACTTTAGAAAAATCATTGGACTTAACTTTTAAAGATTTTATATCACCAATTAACATTTTCAAATACTTTTTCAAAGGAACTGGTAAGATACCCAAAATATAGTTATTATTCAATTTTATTTGATATAACTAATTTTTAGGTACATGGACGCATCCAGGATGTGAAGCTGTTGGTTTATTACAACTACCGTCAGATAAAAAAAACTATTCTGTGTCATCCCCAGATTTGCAATTTATGCTTTTACCTTATGGGGTATCATCTGATGCAGGAGCAGCATACTTCAACCACTTAAATTTTAAAAATGAAGTAAGTTTAATATTATAAATATTCCAAAACAATTATCAAGTAAAACTAAACTATTGAATGTATTTTATAATTTAAGATTTGGAAAGAATATTTTCAACCACTTGTGGGAAGACAAGTCATTTCATTAGCACCAGTGCTATTGCATCCTCAAAGCAGGGGATACGTGAAGTTAGACATTAATCATGAAATTGTAGTACAACCAAATTATTTACAAAAAACACATGATGTCAGTGTGTTAGTTCAAGGAATGAAATTGGTGAAAAAATTTGCAGAAACCAAACCATTATCAAAACTCGGCGCGATGTTTAACACAAAACATTTTCCTGGTTGCCAAAAATATAAGTTTGGATCGGACTATTATTGGGAATGTTACATTAGACATATGACGTTAACTTCTTATCATCCCGTGGGAACATGTAAAATGGGCAGTATCCATAATAAGAGTGTAGTGGATCATTCATTGAGGTAGTTAGTTGGGACTCAATAAAAATAAATTATTATTAAAATAACTTTTATTCGATAATAATTATTTTTATATATGTATTAGAGTGCATAAATTAAATAAATTGTATGTGATTGATGCATCAATAATGCCTTCCATGCCAAGTGGGAATATAAACGCTGTTGTTGCAATGATAGCTGAGAAAGGAGCTGATCTCATAAAAAAACATTGTTTTCAAAGGACTCAAAAATGTAAAATCACAGATTTTTTATACTATGGTAATAAATATTAAAATATTATTTTAATTTAATTATTATTGTTATTCATAATTTTATATGTACTTGTAATAGTTCTACCTATTAGTTTAAAATATATATTTTATATTTACTTTTTTGTAATATTGGGAATTCATTGTTCAGAAGTTTCAACAGTTTTTCCACGTTTTTTGTAACGCCAACTCGTACCTGTATTTGGACGTCTAGGAGCTTTTTGTAAGCTGCTAAATGCGACGGGCTGATCATTTTCATATAGCCAGTTTGGCAAATCAGAAAATTCTGTACGTGGAAATTTGTAACAGCTAGTATAGTATTTAAAAAATGTGATTTCATTTGATAAACATTGCATAGCTGTCCATGTATGATACACCAACAGTGGGAATTTGGCAGTCCAGTATTCTAAAAATGTATCCGGAATATCACCGAATAACTTCTGAGTATCTAGAGATAGTTCCCGAAAATGATGTTTCTATAAATAAATAAATAGTAGGTAGAATAAAAAAATATATCTTTACACTTTAGTTAATCATTACTCAATATGACTAACTTTATTTCGAAATGCTCTTAATAAATCTCTAATGCTCCCAGTTCTATACGTTCGGTATTTCCTTAATTCTGAAGTTATTTCTTCATCAATTTTATCATGCCACCCATCTTGCCCAATAACACCATCACCGCCCTTCTCAAGTTCTAGCATTATTGGGCTCATTGAATGTTCCTTTTCCACACGATCGCTAACATCCTAAAAAAATTCATACATAAAATTCCCTAGCATGCATAGTATAAGTTTGAAATAAATAAAAACCTGAAGAAAGGATAGCAAAGTAGAGCTGTCCCAGAATGCTGGATAATAACGAACAGCTGTAGCAGTGGGCCTTTCTTCTGGGTTTCGACTTATCATCAGAGATATCAAACGTTTCCAAATTTCACTTTCATTTAATGCATCGAGACTATATTGTTTAATTATATATTAGTTTGTATTACATAATTTATTAATAAATGTTTAACTTTTTACCAAGGGGCTTGACGTTTATCCAATATTCTAGCTTGACGCCACAATGAATCACCAAATGGGTGTTTTCCTTGACTGAGGATGTAGTAAAACAAACAGCCCATTGAAAAAATATCAATAGATTTAGTCTTTAAAAAAAGTTAAACAAAATTAGTTTTTATAATATAATGCCATAAGGTACCCAAGTGAAATATCCTTACCACTGATGCATTGGTAACAAACATTTCAGGTGCTATCCAGCCATCGGTTCCGGCGACACCTGAACGTTTTGAAAAAGACATTTTTCCACCCTGTAATTGTTTGCATAACCCAAAATCACTTATCAGTGCTCGGACGCTACTAAAACTACCATTTCCACGCATGGGTATTGACAATAATACATTATGTGGTTTAATGTCCCTGTGAACTATTTAATTGTATTGATTAATATTGAATATAAAAATAATATAAAAGTTACTTGATTATAGTAATTATAAACATTACCTATTCCAAGTGAATGGAGGTGCTGCAGACCTTTAATTGACTGAGATAAAATTTCTTTTGGACTAATTTCATTTCTCAATTCATTTTTTTCTACATAGTCCTATGTTAACATTTTTGACAACTTTATAAAAAAAAAATTTTTAAGTAAATTATAAACTCACTTGTAAAGTTGCAGCACACAATTCAAGTGCAATATATCGAAACTGTTTATCTTGTTCCGTACAATAATAACGAACAACATTAGGATGATAATCAGATTCTCGGAGAATATGAACTTCTCTTTCTCCAGCAATAAAGCACTCTGGCAATAATCGTTTAACAGCTACAGGCCTACATTCAAACTCCCCTCTACAAAAATATTAATCGATATTAAAAATTACAATTTAATATAAAATATAAGTAAAATAATTACTTAAATACTGATGTTCCTTCACATCCTTTTCCTAAAATTTCATCTGTACGGAACATAATTTTTCCTATACAAAAACTACCGTCAGGCAATTCTTCAACTATCTGAGATGAACTACTGTTGGAATGATTGGAGCCTCTTGAACTCCCCTGAGAACTGTTATGACTGTTATTCGATTTATTCTTCAAACCTTTCATCTAATAATAAGTTTAAATGTTTTAAAAAATCAAATGAAATCGGGATTAGAAATAATTGACTTACTTCTTTTCGTAGATACCAGAACATTAAACTCATCAACAGTGTTATCCCAACCATAAATAATTTAATTCCAGCATTATCTCCAAGTATTTGGACAATAAGCCACGAGTCAAAAAATTGAGGAGTCTGAGTAGATATTGTGCTTGTTTGTTTACTGCTGTAGTTATATCCACTCATGTTGTGATAGTAAATTATTGAATCGGTGTTACCCGTTATTCTCGGTATACCTGTATTTAATTCTTGATTCAGCTGGTAGTGCCCTACAAAAAGATGATTTATGTTGTAGAAACATTTGGTAAAACAGAATAATTATTTATTTGCATTACCCAATAAGATTGTGTGGTTTTCAACGTTTTTAGGTTCTACGTTATACTCATTACCACTATAATATGGTAATACCGAAAAAGAAGTTTTGTCCAAAAGAACAATTAATCCTCTATCTACTAATGGATTAACTTCACCAGTGTCTGCAATGGCTGGTAAAGCATATAATCCTGTATTAATGTGATGACCAATGTAAAGTGTATGGCTATAAATCAGATACAAAAATTTTTTTATTAAATAGCATTGTCAACATTTAAAATCATTAATAACAATTACTAGTAAATAATTAGTGAATTGTGGTGATAAAAATAAAATTAGATACAACTATTTATAATTGATGACTGTAAAAGCATAGGTATTTTTTAAATTAAATAATTTATAATTTACTTACAAATAACTAACTGAATTTGGATCTTTTGATGATAATGCAATGTTTGAAATCAAATGCTTTATGGAGTCTTTAGCTATGTTTGTTAATGGTAACGATAGTAGACTCTCGCCATCGTGCTGATAAACTCCAATAACAGGGGAATCAAATTCTCTTTCCCAGAGTAAATTATGATAATTAATAGGAGGAGAAGATTTTTCGACCTTATCTTTTGGATTAAGAAAAACTGCAAAATTACCAGACGAACTAGCAGCAAAATATGTCATACCTAAAAAAATTATACTTATTTAATACATGTAATTATTAAAACATAAATTAAAATTTAACGGATAATTTATTAATACTAAATACCATGATTATAATTCTGTTCATCGGTCATAGTTTTAGAGTTGTAACTGAAAAATGTTACATTCCATTGCCGTTGGTCACTACTTAAACTGTCAACCATCATTACGCTATACTCTGTTTAACAATAATTATAAATTAAAATTAACTAAATTTATGAAACAATAATAATAGGTACATACCAGATTTACTCAATAGTATAGATTTTGAAGCAATCGCTGTGCATATTTCACCTTGTTTTTCAAAATTCATAAATGCATGTTTTTCACCAGTATTCCAATCAATAAAGTACCAACTATCAATTTTTTTGCCTTCAAGTAATAAACAATAGTTTTAAGAGTTTGTTAGATGATAATATAAATCTTATTTAAGTATAAAGCTATTTACCAGAAAATAATATTCCATCTGAACTTCTACATGGTGAGTTAGCAACTAACTGAGGGATAGTGACATCCAACTTTTTGATTCCTACTTTATCCTTATTATGTAGTAAATATAGGGAACCATCTCTGGGATCTGGCAAGAACAACGGTCTGTAACAAGTATGAACAAGTTTTATAATGTTTGTATTAAAATAATTATGAAATTAAATAAAACAAAAAGATTAAATACACACGTGAGGGCATCTTTTATATTGGATGGAACTTTGACAGGTGGATCTAACAACAAAAATAAAATGTAACAATATAATAATGTATAAACAAGTGTGTGAAATCATATACCATCGCTAAATTTCCACAAAGTTTTGCCGGACCTCTGGTCGACAGCAATGAATGAACCATCGAGTGTTGACAAAAATATGATTCCTTCATACTGCAAAACATTAACTTTGGCCAAACCATTGTCATCCTAAAACAAAATATTATATGCTTTACACAATAGCCAGGGGTAACACGGTAAGTGGATACACACTTTTGGGTGATTGAGGTCATGGGAATCCACTAACAGCAAGCCGATTAAAAGGGGGATCGCCAACAGCACCGTTCGGATGGCCAATGCCATTTTGTCTTGAAAAGTCGAGTTTTGCAGTTCACAGCCACATCGACCGCGAGTCGTAAGCGCATCACCGTTGGCATACGACCCGACGTTCGGACAGTTTCATTTTCAAAAACAATTTACAATATTGGAGGTGTTTAGTGTCTGAAACGATACGATAAGGGTGACATTTTATGGATAAACGAGATGACGGTCGACGATAGAACACTAAACAGAATTTCAGCGCAAAAGTTTCAACAACAATAATAATATTGAGAATTGGGCAGATAAGAGATTCGCTGATAATGTGGGTCGGTGGTTCGCTGATTGCAGTAATGCAGTGAGCCAGTGACGCCAGATAAGTAACAGACGACGGCGTGACTGCGCTGGTTATTTTTTTATAATGTATTTTTTATATTTTGTATTTTACAGTGGCGGTTTTGGGGGTGAGGCAAGTGAGGCGCCGCCTAACCTACAATTTTAAGTAAAAAATACTATTAAAGTATAATTTTTGGCCCACCGAATACCGATAGCATATAGGTACCTACATATTTCGATAATAATTTTTAACGTTTTTATGATTTTATTTGAGAAAAAAATCTTCTTTGCCAAGTTTAACAAAATGAATTATCATTTATTATATTGTAAATGGTAAATCATATTATCATATTATCATATTATCATATATTATCATAAGTATTTATTACCAAAAATAGTGATAAACCGATAAGAAATGTATGAAATCATAGATAATAGAAGAATGGATAGGCCATGTTAAATCATACAACGCAAGTGGTCGCGGTCTTTTAAGTATGAGAGAGAA